AAACTGGTTTGAAGGTTGATTTTGATGCTTGTGAAAAGTTGATTGAAAAATCTGTAAATGGTGGCTTGTTCAATCAGTGTATCAATCAACAGGAATATAAACCATGAGGGAGTCAAATTATTTCCCAAAGCACCAAAGGTGATGGAGAGGATAAAGGACCGGGAATGAGATGAGGCATCAGACGGTTATGCACATTCAAACAGAGACTGTTTATTTGTTTGGTGGCTGGGAAGGAACACAGCTCTTGCTGACTTCCAGGCATGTAGTGTGAAGGACAACCAGTGGACTTGTATCTCTAGAGACACTGAGAAAGAGAATGGTCCTAGTGCCAGATCATGTCACAAAATGTCATTCAGCAGATGCAAATCTACATGTTGGGGCATTATTTGGATTCCTCTGTGAGGAACAACAAATCTCTGAAAAGTGACTTCTGTAGTTATGACATTAACACAGACACATGGATGTTACTAAGTGAAGATACTGCTGCTGATGGAGGGCTGAAATTGGTGTTTGATCATCAGATGTGTATGGACTCAGAAAAACATGATCTACACCACTGGTGGTAGCGTAGATGACAGCAGAGCCAGTGAACCACAATTCAGTGGGTTGTTTGCTCTCAGCTGCCAATGTCAAACCTCTTCAGCCTGAGGATATCCAGTCTCGGATAGGACACTGCATGCTATTCCACTCAAAAAATTGTTGCTTATATATATTTGGTGGCCAGCAATCAATGACCTATTTGAATGATTTCTTTAGTTATGATGTGGACTTTTCAGACATAATATCAGATGGCACCAGAAAGACTCTGGCATGGTTCCAATGACAGCATTTACACAGAGAGCAACTATTGATCCAGAACTGAATGAAATATATGTTTTATCTGGATTCAGCAAAAATAAGGAACAGAGGGGGGACACAATCAGAAACTCATTCTGGATTTATGACATTGTGAGGAATACTTGGTTTTGCATCTACAAGAATGATCAGGCTGCGAAGGAGAATCCAAGTAAAAGTCTTCAGGGAGAAGAACCACGTCTAATATTTGCCCATCAGCTTGTCTATGATGAGCTGCACAAGGTTCAATATTTGTTTGGTGGAAATCCAGGAAAATCTTGCTCTCCAAAGATGAGATTAGATGACTCCTGGTCATTGAAGTTGTATAGATCTTTGAAAGATTACTTATGGAGGCACTGGAAGAACCTCGTAAGAAAATGCAGGTTTGAAGAAAAGGCCCAGTTGGATCCCCTTAATGCTCTGACATATTTACAAAATGATCTTTATATAACTGTGGATCATTCGGATGCAGAAGAGACAAAAGAGTGTCAACTCCTAGCATCAGCTCTGCTCAGATCTGGTTCAGATTTTACAGATCTAGGCTTTTCAATGTGGATCACACCTGTGCTCAAAGAACTCAACTCTTTGACACCTTAGTAAATTTCTTTCCCGACATCATGACTCCTCTTAAAGGCAGCCTGGTAGACCTCATCCCACTGTAACTGAAGACTCACTGGACACAGAAGAGGACACATCTTCCAGTCTTTTGGATTGCAACTCTGTTGACTGACAGTTGAGCTGCCGTGATTGAGGACGGCACCAGAGTTCTGAGGGATCTTTACCATCACAAATTTTATACCTGACCTCAACCCCATTCTCCTCATCCTATTCCTGAAGTAGACTAATAAAGTAAAATTGGTAAACTTTCCATTTTAAAAAAATTATTATTTTTGTTTCTAAATCTTGATATATGATACATTTTCTTTGCTGATGTTTTTAAAACTCGTATTTGCACATTAATTTAAATAGTTTCATCTAACCTTTCCATCTAAGGATCTTATAAAACTGATCCCTCAAATGTGCTAAGTGAGATAGAGCAGATCATTTCATGTTAGTTGGAAGGTTTTGAAAAGAAGAAATAGATTACTCTGTTAAATTTGAATTTCAGATAAATAAGGAATGTTTTAGTATGAATATGTCCCTACTGCAGGGAATAAGCGTGTCCTAAAAATTTGTTCCTCGTTTATATTAAATTCACATTTAACTGGGTGCTTTGTATTTTATCTGCCAACCAAGTTTCATGTTGTCATAAAGAACTAACCATGGAGAGTTTGAGTAAAGAAAAGCTTATCTATAGGGGATCTCAGTAAAAACAAAATTCACTTGCTGAAATTGATTGAAAACTCTTAACGGTCCAACTTTCCAACATATATATAGCCTCACTTTGTCACCTGGGTAGAGTGGCAGGGTGTCTTTATAGCTCTCAGCAGCCTCAAACTCTTGGGCTGAAGCCATCCTCTTGCCTCAGCTCCCTGAGCAACTGGGACTAGAGGTGCCTCCCATGATGCCTGGCTAGTTTTTTCTATTTTCAGTAGAGACAAGGTCTCGCTCTCGCTCAGGCTGGTCTCAAACTCCTAAGCTGAAACAATCCACCTGCCCTGGTCTCCCAGAGTGCTACGGTTATAGACCTGTGCCACTGCATGCAGCCTGCTCAACAAAATATTTTTAATCAAATTTAGCAATCTCTTTTGAGTCAGGGAAAGAATAAAATGTAATAAAATATAAAGAGATTCACAAAAGAATGAATAAACAGAAAGGAAATTTCTGTCTACTTAAAACAGAAAATAAAAAAGGCCAACTTTCAATATGTCTCTTTGAAGAACCTTCAGATCATTCCAGATATAAAATTAGAGTAGAAGAATGAAAGCACAGGCTTTTCTACTCATTTTAACAGATATTCATTTCCTTTGAAGTTGCATATTTGAAGGTCTTCATATCAAGAAACATGTTGCAATTAGCTAGGGGCAATTACCTCTCATTTATTTAGATCTAATACGGTGCTATGAGAATATTTCATAACAAATCTCTGGTATAAATCTAAAATTAAGATCAGCCCTAGTTAGTTATAAGAAATAATAAACTCTCCAGTCAATGTTTTAGGGGAAAAAAGCAAAAATAGGTATGAAAATTGCATTGTAAAAGTATTAGAATTCAGAGTGGAAGTTTACACATTTAAACTTGTCATTGTGAAGGTTGAATACCTTCTAATCACTACACACAGTTTTATGATGGCAAGGAAACGTTAAAATGTATAAATCTTTTCTGCAAATATTTATGTCTCACTTATATACAAAATTAATGGTTTAGGAGCTGAAGTTTCATATTACTGAATGTAAATTTTTATTCATAGTGAATTCAGGCACCAGGAATAAAACAAACAAACCTTAAAAGAATCATAAGTCTGTTTTTGCTCAGTAAATATACAATGGGATTCAGAATCTTATCCCTAAAATGCATCAGACTTCTACGTTGGAACATTCTGCTTAAATTTTCTGACTTGGTCTTAGAATTAATAATGGTGATGTCAAACTTTAGCAAACACATCTTTTCTATCCTGTGACAGATCCCCATGACTACTACCCTTAACCATATATGTGAGCCTATAATTCATGTATTATTTTCTTTTTTAGGTTAAAATCATAGACATAAAATTCCATGTTCTGGTAAGGTGAATCTCACCTTCTGGTTGACAAATTCTCTCACAAAATTATGGGCCTTCTGAATCGCTACTTTGGTTTTCCCCTTATGACAACTTCATATTTGCAGAAGAAAGAAAAAAAGTGTCTCGCTTGCACAGAAAGTGAGAAATTACCAGGGCTGTATTTTGTTTTTTGACTTTAAAAGAAGAATCTCAAATTGGAAAATATGCTTTTAAAATACACTTTAAAATACATTCACCTTGGAAGATGTTGCTTGCAGCTGAAATAGCTGAAGACAAACAACGTGTAGATTATTTAGAATGTTTGTGGCTGGCATTTTGAAGCAATTCAAAGATAAAATAGACATATCTAACTGGTCTAGTGAACATTAGAAATGAAAAGATTAACTACATTTTCTAGTAAATGACAACTTGTAGAATCCTGGATTGTATTAAACCTACATTCTATTCTTTTTCTTTTTTTTCTTTTTTTTTTTGAGACAGAGCCTCAAGCTGTCCCCCTGGGTAGAATGCCGTGGCATCACAGCTCACAGCAGCCTCCAACTCCCGGGCTCAAGCGATTCTCCTGCCACCACCTCCCAAGTAGGTAGGACCACAGGCACCTGCAACAATGCCTGGCTATTTTTTTCATTGCAGCCATCATTGTTGTTTGGTGGGCCCAGGTTAGATTTGAACCCGCCACCTTAGGTGTATGTGGCTGGCGCCTTAGCCACTTGTGCCACAGGCACTGAGCCTAAACCTACATTCTGATAGGTGCATGCATTATTTCATGTCTGAACATGTAACACACTGGATTATAAAAGGAAAGATAGTTGAATTTTATTATAATTATGGATATCAGTTTCTGGTAATCGGTAAACCATCGAGAAATTCAAAGCAAATGCACATTAATGAGCGTCAACAATAGACTTTAGCAGGGGAAATACGCTTATTTCTCATATCAATATGAAGTCCAGAAAAATAGCTATATTGGTGTTCGTGTGTAAACATTTAACACAAATACATCTGTTTGCTTCTATTTTCATATAGTAGATTTTGGTACCTATTGCATTTGCTTATTTTAAATATATTTATTTAAGTTCAATTGTAACAAGCATAATTTGTGGTCAAAAGTATCAAGAAATAAATTTCCAATGTTGTACAGACAATTATCCATATTGTAAAACTGTAAACCGCATGGGAAGACAACCAAGATAGCGTCACTAGAAATTTTTAACTTAGATTAAATATACTTTAAAAGATATTGGCCAAACGCCTAAGGTCTGGAGCAGAAGACTGCCAAACGTTAATTGAGTTAACTTTCTTGTAGTAGCTATGCGCAAACACATACCATTTTTATGTTATATCTCTAGAAGTAAACTAGTAAACTGGGGCATAGATATTTGTATATGAGTGGAACGAGGAGGACATCTTGAGGTCATTCTGGAAATGTACATGTTGCTATTCTTACAAAGAGTCCACACAGAAGTTATGATTTAAAAACAGAGCCTTCCAACTACGCTCACACTTCCAGTATAAAATGTCTTTATTTTTTTCAGAAAATCAAAAAGGCAAATTTTACCAAGAGAGGTTAGATTCACAAGAAAGTATTCTCTTTCTTTCTGTCTCTCTCGCTCTCGCACGTACGTACACACATACTCCCCTGAACACACATGTGAAGCTAAGCTAGTTTTGCTAAATGATAGATGCCATTTTAAAATGAGCACAGGACTGTACAATAGGTTAGAGCCCGACTTCCTTAAATATTTTTCTGGAGTAGTAAAAGAGAAACTTCACAAATATCAGTTCAATGTACTTCATTAATTACTGCCTACCTATTTTCCCTCTCCTAATTCTAGAAAAACAGAACTAACAAATACGTTTTGAGATGCCCATTCATATCTTTTCCTATGTACTGTGAGTTAAGGCTGGACTCGCAGGGCCGTTGGCAGAATGTTCTGGCCCCTCGGGGCCGCCCGTGGGTTCAGAGCTCTCAGCCTCCTTGCTTCCTTCATGGACCTTATCTGGGGCGCCAGGCGGAGTAACACAATTGGCAGCCTGCGTCCCTTTGTCCACTTCGTTATCAAACTCAATTTTATCTTCCTGATCGTTGTTTTTCTTTACTTGGCCATTCTGGGCAGGGTAGGTGCTGGCCATGGTATCATACAGGAATTGGTATTGCTCCTAGTAAAGGAAAGAAGCAAGAAATCATATCAGTAAAATTGATGCCCCCAAATTATTATATTGGGGGAGCAGGTAAAAATTAGCAAGAAATAATAAATCATTTGTGGAATTCCTGGATAAAAGAAAAGTACTCTGATATGTTCATATGAACAACATTATAAGTGGTTTAGTTTCTTTACAGTTTTGAAGGATTGACGGGAGGGAACTTTTCAATCTCTATCTTGGAGCACCCCCAAACTGGTGTCTGTGACCCTCACAAGCTGTTCTCAGGCTTGGCCCATGATGCCAGTTTGTGTGCTTACCCATAATGCCTGCACCTCATCTGATAATCACAGCCAGAATCACCGGCTCCCAGAAGCCTACGCTGGTCCCCTTGGGTTAAATTCCATGCCCTGGCTTATAGCCTTCCTATAATTTCTCTGTCACATGATAAATCGATTACAAAAATATAACACTTATTATCCTCCTTGTCACACATTTCTTTGCAATGTGACTTTACAGTTCTCTTCAACATGAAGGGGAATCTGTTTCTCTACTTTGTGCATCTGGGCTGGTCTGGGGACTTGTTTGGCTAATAAAATACCAAGAAGGCATGGTATGTCATGTTCAAGTTGAGCCGCAAGCAGTCTCACACATGCCTGTTCTCCCTCTTGACACAGCCCCTTTCTTGTGAATAAGCCCGGGCTAGTCTTGTGGATGAGGAGAGACCTACTCGCCTCTGTTGCCACAGCGACATGGCAGCCACTTGCCAGATGACCGGGGCAGTGGAGATACTGTCAGACCATTCAGACCCCAGCAGACAGATCAGCTGAGGGCACACACACAGGTCAGCTGGCCTCCATTGGCTGAGCCTCAGGGGATCAGTAGAACAACTCAGGAGATCATTAGAGCAATAGGTTGTGAAACTACTACATATAATTCATGTTATTTGTTTGGGCCACTAAATCTGAGGTTGGCTTGTTACCACCACTAATGGATACAGAATTAAAGGAAGAGAAATTAAGGCATTCGTCAGCATTTAAGGAAATATCCTTCACAAACTATCACCACAAAAGGCTGGGAAACTCTAATTTGGTATCTTATTTATATTGATAATTTAATGTAAATTATCATGTAAAAATAGAAGAGAGAAAAGAATAGAAAGGAAAATAGAAGAGATGCAAAGGAAGGAAAGGGGGGAAAGAGCAAAGGAAAGGAGAGGGGAGGAGAGAAGAGAAAAGGCGATTGTCAAAATCGAAATCCAAAGTGCATCAAAAGCAGCAGTGACGTGTACTTACAAACACGGAAACCATGCCCGGTCTCGCTTTGCGTAGAGCTTTTACTACTTGAAAAACATCCACCATCTCTTCTGTCTCTGCACTTTCCAAGAGATTTAGCAAAGCACAGACTATTCCTGTTTGCTGAGATCCATCTCTATAAAAGGAAGACATGATAAAAAGAAAAAAATTCTGTATTTTACTGAAAATGATAATCAGAACATATTTTTGCTTCGTGTTTACTATAATTATTTTATTCCAGTCTTAGGAGCCACATTATTTATGCTAAATGCATTCTTTAGGCAAACTTTTTCAATCTGAGACTATACTAATCCTGTAGTTTAAAAAATACCTGTCTTAAGCTTTCAAAATAGACCCCTGTTTAGTATGTTACAGATCTTGATGCATTTTTATTTATGTCTGAAGTTTTCGGAACCAGAATCATTATGCCAGTTTGGTAGATGAGCAAAAACCAAGATTTAGGGACGATAAAGGCATAGCTAAAAACTGACAGAACGAGAAATATTCAACCTGGTGTTTTGTAAATTCCTACTCCACGCGTGCCTTCTTCACTTTTCTGCCTTTCTACCATGTTTTATATGTGTTCCCACTTCTACATTACTAAAAAAGGGATACCTGGTGGAATTATTTTCTTCCAAAGAGGGCAAACAAGTGCTGTACCAAGCTAGGAGAGGCACAAAACATTATATAATAAATATTCCATTTCAATAACATGTTATCAGAAGGAGATTATCGTGCATTACTAAAGAAGATAGTGTAGGTAGTCAACCGTATCTAAGGAACACAGAAAGGTTCACAGCCTACAATTCTCTTCTTCAGCTTTCTTTCCACATAAGTTTCACCTTTGAAATTTCGAATAAATGCTGAAGTACCAGTGCACCTCTGAGGGGTTGATTCCAGTGTGTGCAACCCCAGTAGTAATCATGAAGCTTGTTCACAAATTCCAAAAGCATTTCGCTAAATATCTCATTTTATTTTACCATCTTTTTCATTTACCTAGATATCCTGTTGTTTTCGTTTTTTGAGACAGAGTCTCAGTTTGTTACCCTTGGTAGTGGCATCATAGCTCACAGCAACCTCAGACTCTTGGGCTCAAGCAATCCTCTTGCCTCAGCCTCCCTAGAAGCTGGGACTACAGGCACCTGCCCCAATTCCTAACTATTTTTAGAGATGCGGTCTCACTCCTGCCCAGGCTGGTCTTGAACCCCTGAGCTCAGGCAATGCTCCCACCTCTGTCTCCCAGGGTGCTAGGATTACAGTACCAAGATATTCTTTTTAATGTAAACTTTTTATATTATACATTCTTTTTATAATATCATTTATCTAAAGTGTATATATAGACATGAAATTTAACGGTCAGCATAACAGACATTTATAACCTCAAGAATGATTTCTATTATCACAGGTCTGACTTTTGTGTCAGTGTAGAAGATCAAATGATGGACTTCAAATCAAAGTTGCTAAGCTTTGAGAGTTCCCATAATATTTAACTAAAGGTATGATTATGGAAGGCAAAACATTCAGTCTGCTTAACTCTGCCATGCCTAATAGAGTGGATCAAGGCACGTAAGCATATATTCAACATGATGTCCATCAGTCTATCCACTCACACATCCTTCCATTCATTCATTCATTTAGGAAAAGCAATATGTTGTGTTCTAAGTTAGGTACCGGGAGTCAAAGATAACAGGAGACCATGCGTTAAGAAACACAGCCTAAAATGATTGCAATAGATTATAATCATTTCTATTATATTTCTATGACACTTATGCTATGGAAACATAACTGAGATAATGACTGACCCCATTTAAGATATATACTGTGGTTATGTGTTTTATATACTGAAATAAATATAATTTGAGAAAATATGATAGAAGTCAAGCATGATAATAGTTTTAGATCACGTCCTAGCAAACCCCACCTACCTGCAGTGAATGAGGAGAGGTGCGCTCTTGTGATGCCTATTCCCTTCACTGGGAGTTTTCTTGGGAAGTTTTTGTTTGAGGATCTGAATCATAGACATTAATTCTTTGGGTTCTGCAGGAAGCTGTTCCACATTCCAGTTCGTATACTGGTACTGGTACACGGTTCGAGTATCTTTCCTCTAAAATCAGAAGTGAAGGGAGCATAAATTCCCGTGAAGTTCAACCTATTTTATAATCTGATAAGTCAAAATTTTTTTCACAGTTGTTACTTTCATTTAAATAACTTAGAAGTTGTATCCTGAAACATTATATAGATGGTGACTTTGCTTATGTAATTTACTGTAGTTTTGCTATCAGAACAATTACATCAAACACATACTCCTGAAATTATTTTTATACCTTGGAATGTCTCAGTTCAAAGACACGGAAGGTATAAGCTGAAGATTTGTTTGTGTCTTTCATATCAACTTCTATATCTCCGTATGTTTGCATTCCTTCTCCCCAGTACTGAGCGCAGATTTCCTAGATAAACAAGAAGATAGTTCAACAACTTCTGCACAAATGTTCTGTTTGCTATTTATAGTATTCAGACAGTCACTTTCTCGCTTACTTGCACTCTCCTCCTTTCTCTGTTAAAAGAAAAATACTGTGTTCTAAAATTGAGACATGCCCATCAAATTCAAAATATATTTTAGGTCTGTTGAAGACTCGTTTAATAAATATGCGATCTTTCCTCGTGCAAACAAAGGGAACTGAGCATAACTGAGGTGACAAAGTAGCTGGGAGGCTGCAGGAACAGCTCTGTCCTCCCTAGCCTGGGTCTTTTGAGAGTTATTCTTCCTTTCCAGAGCTCATCATCGCCTCTTCAGATTCTATAGCTGGTGTCATTCATACCCCCTCCAATAAGAACTCAGGTCCAACCGTTCCTCCATTGATCCTGGAGGAAGGAAGCTGCATCTTTTGGAGATTTTTGGTTTTGGATCTTGTTGACCACCCGTGAGTAGCTCCCTGTATGTTAATGAATATCTCTGCAAAGGGCCAGATTGAAGAGCGCATGAAGAACAAAAGAGTTTCCTCTCTCTGAAAGGTGATTTCCACCAACTAAACTCTCACAGTGGCTGACAGTGAGAGGCATTCCTGCGTACACTTCATTCTATTTCCTGGCTTTCACAATTTATATCAAGAAAAGGGTTGCTGCCATTTATATATACGTTCTAGATTCTGGACATATCTTTGTTTTGTAAAAGACAAAAACACATAAAAGTAAAGAACAACTTTCTATGTATGGAGGAAGTGGATCAAGAGAGCAAGAGAAAGATATAATAAATCTTGAAGCGGTTGCATGCTTATGAAGTTATACTCTGAATAAGCTTTCACATGTGTCAGATAACATAGGACGTGCTAAAACTAAGATCTACCCCCCAAGGAAATGTTAATAATAACTCAAGCTATTGAGGAGAGGATCAAGTAAGCATTGCAGTCATTAAGGGAAAGATCAAATCCTATCTTAGGTTTCCCCCACCTATAGACTTTTATGATGATAAATATTACATAGGAATAAAGAAGGAAGGATATGGATGAATTTTTTCAGGAGTTTTGCCTTGTTAGAAGAATAGGGCCAAAATAGAAAGAGAGCAAATTTAGTTATACGGAATATCAACAGATTATGATTCAGTGACAAGAAGGTAAATGATACGTTAAACTCAGTCAGCGAACCTGCTTGTCCAGAACGGAGAGGATGGACAACATAAAAATGAAATGAAGAGAGAAAGACATACGAAGGCCTGATTGGGGGGCGGGGGGGTCACACATTTGTTATCTAACACTTGAAGAAGATAGAGTGAAAGTGCGTATAGCTGTTGATTGCATGGTGTCACTTGGCATTGCTCCGGCCTGGGCAGTCAGTGAGTGAGACAGGTAAGAGGCCACTTAGAGAGATAGTCAGAATCTAGACACAGCTGACCAATGCCGGGGTGAATGGGGCAAGACTGAACAAATGGAATTGTGTGACGAAAGAGTCCAAAAGACATGGATGTGGGTACAGCGATCAAGCAAGCCATCTAAGACAAGAAAGGGATATTTATGACATAAAGACTTTTAAAATAAAAGGTTCTCAAAGTACAAACCTGCTCTCCCTGCTTCAGCTCTGTCAGCATGATAATAACTTTGACTTTTCTTTGAAAGATCATCTGCCAAAAATCACTAATGGTTTCTTTTAGTGGTCCCTGGGCAGCAATCATCACTTCAGGTTTCCAGTAACTCTTAAAAAAGAAGAAAGAAGGACTTTGTTACGACCACTAACGGAAGACAGCACAGTGGATTTTTAAACAACCATTTGGAAATAGAGTCACTTAGTTTGTTATCAATGCTGTTATATAAAACTATCAAGATTCCTATTCTGAGAAGTAATGTAATATTTACTTGTAAAGTGCTTATTCAAATAATGAAAATTCTTAGCTAATAATGCACAAGTAAGATGAGGACATATAATCTTACAAAATGAACTGGTTTTGTTTTTCAAAACCTTTTTTTCTCTGTAAAGGTTAGTGTGATTCTAGTGATTATAAAAAGGAATTATTAATTGGGTCAATGTACACAATCTATGGGCACACTAAAATCAAAGGTTTTACCATTATACAATGTATACACACATAATGAAATTTAATTTGTATTCCCTAAATCTATACTAAATTTTTAAAGGAATTAAGTAAACATTTAAATTATCCTCAACCTGTCTTCATATTAACTGGTGTCTACATATTGTTATACTAACTTATAATTAAATTGATATTCTAATGTGTATTTTAGGAAAGTTGGAAAAGAAATAAATCCAACTTAGTATACTGCAATAAGTATTTGCTGAATGACTAAAGTTGCCTTGCTGGAATTTTCAGTTCTTTAAAAAAATATGGTACCTATTCACTTAATAATTCAGTTAATAAGAATAAAAGGTTTTTAACTATGCAAATACACAAATTTGGTTTTGCTTACAATTTGGATAACTATGTATAAACCCTTCCAAATACTTAACATTTGCTCAAATTTTATTCTTTCAAACATTAGTATGACCATAATCATATTAGTCATGAACTATAACCAACAGCATTGTCTTATATTGTATCAGCTCATTAAGTTTTAATATTTTTAAAACCTTTCATGAATTAAAATATAGCACCAAAAATTGAAACTTTCATGACAATCACTAACTACATAGTCAGGAACAAGTTCATTATTCTTTCATAAAACCATTACATAAAAAGCCCTAACAACATAGATAGGGTTTTTCAAGGGTTAGATTCTGAGTTCTGAAAATGCAAGCACCTACCATTATAAAAGATGCATTGATGTACTTGCTGGTTTCCTCTGAGTCACTGTCATCATCAGAGGAGTCATCTGAATCATGCTCACTCTCTTTGCTCATTTCAAGTTCATGTTTCAGTGGCACTCTGTTAAAGTCATCTGCGTAAGATAAATTAGTAGTAAGTCTTCCTTTAAAACATCAAATTTCTGCTTCGTCATGTGGAAATTAAAAAATACTTCAAAGGGGACAGATTGCATTATGTAAATCTAAATGGAATGAGATTATAAAATTCAGTACTCACAGATTAACAAAAATTATTTTAAGTTTAAGAGAAAGGAGATTCCAAAAGGGTCCCAGCAATACACACAGGATATAACTCCAAGTCAAGAAATAGATATAATTTTCCATATATTTATTTAATCTCTGATGTATATGCTTCGGTTTTCATAATTCTGCTTGTTCTAAGTTTAAAATATGTAGCTTAGACTTTTGTTTCCTAATTATATTTTATTAACATTAAATTAATAATATTAAATAGATATCTCAGATCATTACTTGGGTATTTAGTTTAAAAATTATTTGGTTCATAATTTCTCACTGTTTTGCAATTTCATTAATTTATAATGGCCTGGCCAAATGGTCTGATGAACTACATCACAATCAAATCCATATTTTAAACTGTATTTATAAGGAATTCTTTAGAATTTAGCTAGTCAGCAGTCCGTTAATCTGATTTATTTGCTTGTCTAGTTTATTAGCTTGGGTTACATTTTATCTATGGTAATTGCAGTGTATGGAGCTGAATAAAAATAAAGTTGTACCAGATGCAATCATATCAATATGCTTAATTAGTAGAATTTAAGTCTTGGAAACTGTGCATGTTTTAATCTGTTAAATTTGATGATTGACAGATCACAGAATAGTTTCCCCCTACTTTCAACCTCCCAGGAATGAAGGATGAAAAGAAAACATGAATTGAACAAATAGATGTAATATTTTGCTATTTGGCACTTGCCCTGGAGTAAATAATGGAAATCAACTAAAAATAAGAAAGAACTGGTAAAAGAGACTTGATTTTTTTTTTTTCTTCCAGCTTTGGAGGTTTCATCTTTCTGACAACCCATTTCTGAAATAATCTGTAGAAAGAAAACACTGAATATAGTTGATCCTCCAAAAGTCTCTCGTAAGTGCTTCTTAAAAAGGGTTCTAACCCTTTACTATCCATGCAACTAAAATTTAAATACCCTAGTAACCTCTTCTCTTTCATCAACCAAATATTTAAAAACTTGCTCCAAGATCATTTCTGTGCCTGTGTGTCTCCCGTTAAACAAATCCAAACGAGAGATTAACTTCATCTGCTACAAAGAAGAAAGTAAAATAAACCACATACAGGGAATGACATTAGAACTCCTGTTTTTATTTTTATTTTCTTCTTGATTTCCAATGTGCTGTGTCCTCCAGCTCCTATATGAAGGAAGTCTCTGCGGAAGAAAAAAAAAAAAGAGTGGAAAACTCCTTTACAATGTAAATATTGGCTTAGTTTTATTATTGTGCCGTAAGATGTTCCCTAAAGAAAAGCGTTTCATTAAATCGGGGAAAATTTCCATACACTCCCTAGAACTCACAGTTTTTAAATTTGCCTCTAAAGTTTTCCTTTCAATTGCTTAGGTTCTTGGTACTTTTAGTATGTCACGTTTGAACTGAATATACATAATTACATAGGAGCACGGGCTTCTTTCTTAGAGCTGCTTGGTAGCAAAGTCCCATCGTTAGTTCTTGTGTTAAGTTGAAAGCACTAAGCAGACACTGAGTATTATCCCTATTGCAAAAGCGATGGTAAATTATTTAAAATGATCAGAAATAAACTCTGCAGACACAGCGTTCACAGAAGAGTTGGCAGCTGCCTCCAAAGCTGATACTTCATTTGTTTACACCTGCCGGATGGGTCGCCTCGCTACAGTGCTAGTCGGCAAGCTCTCTTGCTACTGAGGAAGCTCACAGGTCTTTTCACTTTCACTTTTCTCTCCTGCTTACTCCAGTTCACCTTCACTTTTTACTTGGGGAACATCAAGAGTTTCTTAACCTATCTTCTGTCTTGTTTGCTCTAATCCTTCTAAAATGCAAAACAGAACGTGTCCCTCCCAGGATCTTTGGAGGCTTCTCATTCTTGTTAGAAACCAGCAAACCTCGCTGCAGCATAAGAAGCCGTCAGGGCTGTGCTCCTGTCTCTTCAGCCTCATTCCCCAATTTTACAAAGACATGGCCAACATGCAGAGAGTATTTTGTAAAATTTCGTAGCGAATATTTCATAAATAAAGTCACATGTAGTGACAATTTCCCCTGGTTCCTACGGATGGCGACTTTATGTGCCACTTTTAGGAGACCCTGTAGTATCTTTAACCTGGCAATCTTCAATTCTATCAACACTCTAACATACTGTCTTCACTAATTTTTCTCACATGCTGCGTGTGGCCACCACTAGAATCATTCATCACCAAGACCTTCAACTCCTTCGCCTCCTCGTTTTCAAGCAGTCACTTTCAAAATCCAGATAGGTTTAACCCAACCATCACCTCTAGCCCCGGAGAGCTCAGTATCTCCACGGAAAACAATATAACGAAGTAATTCCTCTCTAAATTCACAACCATAAATTTCAAGTCATCCGAAAATAATTTCTAACAATCTCAGGACCTTTGCCTGGGGAGATCGATTTCCTATTTTGAGATAACTAGTTCATATTCTTTGCACTTCCTCAAGAATTAAACTCTTCTTCACCTGACTCACTACAATACCCCTCAACCCCCAACTGATAATCTTGCTGCATCATATTTTTTTGAGAAATGACAATCAGGCAAGAGTTGCCTCAAATTCCCTTCACCAATCCCCAACAGACTTGCATCTCTACTCTCCTTTTCCATCTTCCCATCTGTTTAGGTGAAATAGCTTCGCTGCTTCCATCAGAGCCATTGTCTGTGATGGGGTTCACAGTGTTTCCTGCCTTCTCCCCATGTCCATTTGCAAATCACTTTGACACTTGTGCCAGGAATTGAACTCAGCACAAAGCAGAAATTCAATCATATTTCTTCAGCGAAGAATACTTTGTTTTGGTGAATAAGTACTCATTTCATCAAAGTGTTTAACTTAAATATGTAACTGTATAACTGGCATATGTATATATGTGGATTAGTAGGGTTAGTGCCTTGAATATGGTTAACTTACCATCTTCTTTATTTTTAGCAAGAAAACAACAATTATAACAGCCGTCTGTTTGAGACTACCCCATGGGACAGATCTTCTGGGGGATTGAGTTACCTGGTGATTCTTTTTTTTTTTTTTTGGCAGTTTTTGGCCAGGGCTGGGTTTGAACCCACCACCCTCTGGCATATGGGGCCAGCACCCTACTCCTTTGAGCCACAGGTGCCACCCCCTGGTGATTCTTACATGTTCCACCTGCACTCCCCACCTTAGCCCACTTTGATCCTAAATATGAAATGGTCTGCATCTGCTTAAAATTACATTGCTGATCTGGCTGAGAAACTTTGAATTGATTGGTTTGGTAATTTGCAGAAAGACTCAATATGTGGGGAATCATAAGTGAAACAGAAAAGCTAAGGAACACTTTTTTCGACAACTGAGCCATCTGAGGCTAGCTATGCCAACTCTCTGAAATCACAGTTAACTATGTCCTGGGTTAGCCGTCAGAATAATTGCCTAATAAATAAGTTAGGACACATGTACTTACCCTTTGCTTTCTATCTACCAGCCCAGCCAGTTCAACTTCCTAAGCAGTTGCCTTTGCAAACCAGAACAAAATATAGTTTGTGAAGGGGATAAGCTGCATTGCCTTTGGCAGATCAATATGAACTATTATTTTGTATTATCATTTTGCTATTTTATACCAGCTTAATGAGGAATGTTTGAAATTGTTAGCAGTCGAATCAGATTTCTGGGTTAAACAAATCTACATAATGGTTGTGTGAATTCAGGTATTGCTCTTGAACTCCCTGTGTCCTAGTTCCTTCCTGTGTGCTCCATTGATTATGGCGTAGGCCAAATGCAAGAACTTGCCAAGTGCATTAGCCACCCCCTGGAAAACAGTCAGCACTGGGCTAAAAACTGCCTGTAATTACTGTTGTTGCTATCATGTCATTACCTGGAATTCAGCCTCCAGTGGAGACGGCTCACTCGGTGGGTCTCTTTTCTTCATATTTTGTAGATAGGGATGCAGTTCGGACAAGCTCACTTCTGTTTCTCCAAACTGATTATATTCCACTAAGGCCTGATGGATCAAGATGTACTGTGCCTACAGTTTCAAAAAAAAATGCGGGTAATTAATTGCAAGCTTAGGGTCCTATGAGTCACATTTAAATAAAATTCACATTCCTATAATTTTGCTCAAGTTGGGACAAAGTATGGCAAAATGAAATTGGTATATATCACATTTAAATATCCTGGAAGGTGGCTCTCAGAGTTTTCCAGAAATCTGGAAAATTTCAGACCACATTTTTAGAGAAAAAAACAAAAGCTTGCTGAATAGTTTATCCATGTAGTATATACATTGCGTGGTATTTTCTTATTCCTAAAAATTCTAAACAAAAAACATTGCCTGTTAACTTCCTTCACTGATTATTATTGCGTTAATCAGATTGCTAATATACAGAACTGTAATAAATTTCACAGTACATTTGAGAGAAAAAAGCAAGTTGCTATTCCATAGGATGCACTTCTAAGAACATTTTTAGTACACTTTAAAATAGAAAAGTTATTTTTTAAAAATGATCCAATATACCAAACCTATATTTAGCAACTCCTAACTATTTATCATATTTGAATTCAGTATCTTTAAGGAAATAATATATTTCTGATAATTCTTTTTTTTTTTTTCAGACAAAGTCTTAAGCTGTCACTCTGGGTAGAGTGCCGTGGCATCACAACTCACAGCAACCTTTAACCCTTGGGTGATTCTCTTGCCTCAGCCTCCCAAGTAGCTGGGACTACAGGCGCCCAACACAACACCTGGCTATTTTTTGGTTGTAGTTGTCATTGTTGTTTGGCAGGGCTGGGCTGGGTTCAAACCCGCCAGCCCCAGTGTATGTGGCTGACACTCTAGCTGCTGAGCTACAGGCGCTGAGCCTCTGATAATTCTTTAACTCCCACCACTTGCCCTTCCTTCAGTAGCACTTACACCAAAATTACCTACCACCTCCCTCATGGTAGGTAATTTTACCTTACACTCTATTTTACGCCCCAGAGGAAATAGGTTTTTTTTCTTTTTTTTTTTTTTATTTTCTGGCTTACAATCTGTTTTTATACTTCTGCATTGTTTATAGATATATATGTATTTATAAATATATAAACATTATACAATTTGTATATTTAAAAATATCACAAAAATTATATCCTGTGTTTCATTTGTCAACTATTTTCACTCACTGTTTTCATCTGAGCTTCTATCCAAATAGAGAGACGTAAACCTAGATTATTCCTTTCAACTATAGCTTAGCATTCGCTGTTCAAAGATTCCACATGTCACATTCTGTTCGACCATTTCCCTACTGAGATATATATATATATAAACACACACAGACATATATCTGTATATATATGTACAGGTATATATGTAAATACATGTATATATACACATGGTGTTTCCATTCTCCTATTTATACACATTCAAGAACTTTTTGCTATTTTAATGATGCTGAATGCAATGAACATTCTTTCCCATGTTTCTAATTATTCATATTTGCAAGTGCTTTTCTTGAGTATAAACATACATGTGATATTTCTAGGTTAAGTACAGACATTTTCAGTAATAACCATCACTTAGAATTACTGAATGAATGGCATGTTTAAGGTGATTGTTTAAATGTTTCATTTGTACTATCATTACCTCCATTGTACAAATGACTTAACCAAGGGACAGAAAAATTTAAAAACTTGTCCAAGAGTGCATAGTCATAGAGGCAGAATTTAAAATTTGGAAGTCTAGGCCAGGCGTGCAGTGGCTCATGCCTGTAATCCCAGCACTTTTGGAGGCCAAGGTGAGAGGATCACCTGAGCTCAGGAGTTCAAGACCAGCCTGAGCTAGAGCAAAACCCCATCTCTAAAAATAGCCAGGAGTTGTGGCGGATGCCTGTAGTCCAGCTACTCCAGGGGCTGAGACAAGAGAATCTCTTGACTCCAAGAGTTAGAGGTTGCTGTAAGCTATGATGCCAGGGCACTCTACTGGGGGTAACAAAGTGAGACTCTGTCTCAAAAAAATAAAAAATTAAAATAAAATAAAATAAAATTTGGAAGTCTAGTTCCAAAAACTGGTCTTTTAATCATCATACTATTCTGTCTCTTCAGTTGTGATTTTCTGTGATGCTGTGAAATCTGTTTTCAGTGTGTTTTTTCCCCTCAATCTAGTATGTATAAATGGTGTTTCATTATTTTCTTTTTTTCTTTCTTTCTTTTTTTTTCCCCATAGTTTTGGCCAGGGCCAGCCTTGAACCTGCCACCCCTGGTATATGTGGCCGGCACCCTAATCCTTGAGCCACAGGCACCGCCCCATTATTTTCATAAAGTAAATTTTATATTTATCCTTCATTCACAGTAATTTAAAGTACTAATACAAAGTATTTCTAACTATTTCCATCCACTGTTTGAAGTTGTGAGGATTTTGAATTTCTTTCAAGGTCATCACTACCACCCAAAATGATTGAAGTGCAAACACAAAGGTGAGGATAATCTCTAAAGATTAGTACGAACCTCCACTTGCACCATCAGGCATCTCTGTCGCCTCAGCTTGACGACATAACCATAGACATCCACTTTGTTCTCAGCTTCCAGGCCTTCCAGCATGGCGTCAATTCCAATGTAGGTGCCTGTGCGCCCAACACCAGCACTGGTAGGATGAACAGAAAAGGTGAAGGCATGCTCATAGCAGGAAATGAAGAAAACACCATCAAGTGTGGAGGAGAGGTAGGGATATAAGTTTCTCTTGCAAATGATTGCTCCCTAAATTGCAACCGCTTTAGGGGAGAACATCCCAGTCAGCCCAGGGCAGGTGTGAGAAGCCGACAGGCTCAGTGCCCGCGGTGGGAGTTCTTTATTCACCTGCAATGCACCACCACAGGCCCGCTGAAGAAGTTGCTGAAAGCATTCACTCTCCTTCTCAGCTTCAGCAGCAGGTGGGGATCGTCCGGAACTCCGTGGTCTGGCCAGCTGGTGAACTGAATGTGAGTCACTTCTCTTCCAGTTGCTTTTTCTTTTTTCTAGTTGAGACAATACTTTCTTTGAGATGATTTTTAAAGCAAACTATGGGACATAAACAAGTGGAAGGGAGGACCAGAATACAAATCTCCCCATGCAAACATAAACTACTCCAAAGGGTCCAGAACTCCTCAGGCATCCTAGAAGTGTTTTGCGGCTATAATTGCATTTTCCTTTCTAATTAAGTTGAGATATCACGGAGGACTGGCATGCACTTCCCAGTAAGCACCAACTTACCAGTAAAGTAAGTAAGGCAAGGTAAGTACAGACGCAACTCCTAGGAACTTTCACGCTGCCAAAACAAACACACAACAGGAAAAGGGGCGTGGTAGTGGTGGGTGGGAGGCTTTGAGTGTGTGTGTGAAAAGATATAAAGTACAGGTCATCCTCACAGTTGTTTAAAATACTTCTGCTTGGTGGGCCAGCAGACAGGACTATTTTTTGGGTGAAGAAAAGCTGATTAGCCATTTGGTTAACACCATCTTCCGTAGGCCCTCACAGAATAGAAGCATCAGCTGAGAATGTAGAGAGAGGATTGAGGAAAGTGAGCCCCGGCTGGCAGCTCAGGTGTGTCCTAGTTTCAAGGAAATCACCAGGAGATGCATAAACCATAATTCTCTGACCAGGTATGAAGAACCACCTACATTCAGTCAGCAGAAAAAATGAATGAAACAAAAGCTTTAAAACAATTTTAAAAAATCATAAAGTATGCATTGGTTATGATTTTCCAATGGGAAAAACTGAGGTGGTTAAGAACAGTGAGTTCAGACTAATTGATGCAGCCATATGGGGGTAAGCCTCTATCTGTACCCCTATATCTATGGATTGGGGGCTTTTGTGGCTTAATCAATCAAGAAGTTAGCCATGAACCACTGGGAGGGTGATTCCAGAGTCCTCATAGCCTAGCAGTAATGCCACGGAGCCTAAGAAGGCCTTGGGAGAATATACAATGAGTTTTCTTTGGGGGGGGGCAATGTAACTGGCCTATATAGAAATAAAATTGACTTCACTAAAAGCCCTCCAACAAATGAAACTCAGAGAAAATGTCAATGCCCGATATAAAGACTTGCATTTCGTAAGCAGCTCTATCGAGTTTTTTACATACCATAAAGTTCACACATTAAAATGTACAATTCAGTGTCTTAATTACATTCACAGAGAGGTACAATCATCACCACTATCTAATTATAGAACATTCTTGTCACCACAAAATGAAAATCTGAACCTGTTAGTAGCCACCCCCGATTTCTACTTCACCCCCTCAGCCCTAGGCAACTATTAATCTCCTTTCTGTCTTTACAGGTTTGCCTGTTCTGGTTTCTCATATAAATGTAATCATATAATATGTAAAATGGTCCCCACTTTAATGAATATCTGAGGCCACACTGATCTCTTTATTTTCTGAACTAAACATTTTATCTCTTCTACCTTGGTAGACTTTATACCCCCTACACTAGTCTCTAATTATGCCATTTGTACAAACGTTCTTCCTATAAGCATAAGCAGCCATTGAAAGTAAGGTCTATTTGTTTATTCATTTTAATTGAATCCTATGTTCAACTCATCTAACGTAACTTTCCTTTTTTAAAAATACTTCAAGGCTCGTAGCATACTAGATACTTTGGGCTTGGCTTGGACAGACACTTCTCATCCAGGGACTTAAATCTGACCGTGTTGACTTGCATTCTAACCCAATTTGTCCTCCTAAAAGTCATTAAAAATAATATTTCCCAGGTAGATTTTAATCCCCGATGTAATAATACAGAATTGTATTCCTATAAAAATAAAAACAATATCAAAATGAAATTACATAATAAAACAAACTCACGTTGGTAACGTTCAATTTTTGAATGATATAATCTGGACACCTTTTGTGTTCATTAATCTTCACCACAACATCTCCAAAGGTCCGAGTGCCTTCTTCCATCGAAGGCCAGTATTCCGCACACTTGTTCTATAGTTAGAAATCATTAATTATTTCCCTTTTTCATTTAAATAATTCTTGTTAAACTTTCTTTAAAACGCAGAAATATGTAATCTGAAATTCTTAGAACATTCTTCTATTTTCCTTTAAACACACATACACCTTAAATAGTGATGTTTGAAATATGTCCTCCTCCCCATCAATGTTGCCAGAAGAATTTTCCTCACATTACTTAGCAGAAAGATGATCCTCCCGGCTCTAGCTGCATATTATAAGAAGACACACTGAGTACTCAGCACAAAGGATGCGACTGCTGGCAGGTAATTTCAGGCTGGGAGGCAGAGAGGGTATTGCTCCTCCTAAAGTCACGTGATGTGACTTTGCACCTATCTGCCCCAAGGTCAGTTTTGCTTTAAGTATTCACAAGTATTGTGAAGTCAGCACCTCAAAATATGCTGAACTTTTAACAACACCAAAGATAATAGGGATCAAATAAAAGACTAGCAATGAAGTATTTAAATATTATGAATACAGACATATATTTACCTAGGTAGAAATTTTATTTTTCTATATTGATGAAATACTTAAATCAAATTTTCAACACTGGTTAAAGTAGAACACTGTGTATTTTAGTCCTCAAGCACATATATGTGGTTTTTCTAAATGCAATTTAATACTGCCTTTTCCTAACCCAACTTAGGAAATCTGGGTGAATCTTCTGGGTTCTTACCCTGTTTCCTTCTTCACATCGAGTTACCATGACAATAACTGTGGCTTTCTGTTCCCAGATCATCCTCCAGAAATCATCAACAGTTTCATCTCTGGGGCCTAGGACGTAAACAAATATAAGCGTATAAGAAATATTTTCTTACAAGCGCTACAAAGCAATTTTTCAAAAAGAATATTAGACTATCAAATAAATTACCTTGTGCAGCAATGTATTTCTTGGGTTCTTTGAAACCCTGTTCAAAACATAAAAGTGGGACATCTGCTGAGCACTTAATTATTCATTCACATGCAAAACTATGACTTAGAGGAAGGTGCATTAGATCCACCATTTCTTGGTTGTGAATTTCCCTGGGCATTTTCAAATTATTAAGAAGATTTTATTAAATCATGGTCATGTAAGGGTGCTAAGCATGTTAGTTAACACTTGCAAACCATCCTCATGACTTTCATGTGCCTTTGCTATATAATCCAAATAATTCTAAAAACTAGATTTCATCCTCATCTAGGATAGTAAAGCAATTTACAAGAGTAATCCAGAAATTCCTACATTTGATATCCTACCAAGTCTTAGAGCAACATCTGTCACTATTTAAACCTCTTCCCTAACCACACAGTTACTTTTGGACTTTAACTCAATTTCTTTCAATAAATCAGTCTGAGATTACACCACACTTCCACCCCTTAAATATTGCTGGAATAATATGTTGATTCCCTAGGCTCCATTGTTGCCTTTCCAGATAGAGATAAAATCACCTTCATTTTCTATCTAAAATGTCTTTTTTTCTTCGCTCTTGTTACCCGGACAAAAGAGTACAGAGGCTCATAAGATACTACAATAATTTCTTCCAGAATTATCTCATACTTTTTAAATTCACCTCAACAATGAAAGAAGCTATTCAGAAAGAGACCACCTTTGCCACTGGATGAAATATAGCACATGGGCCTCAAGAATTCATGATTAATTTTAGTAACTTCTTGAAACTTCTATCTTATGATACGGAAGTATTCATACATTCATTTATTTAACAGGTGTTTATGGAACAGCTTCAATATGTCAAGCACCCATCTGGGAGCTGAAGACACAAACTTTCCTAGAGCTCCAAGTTCTGCTGGAGAAATGTAAGTGGAACCTGATACTGTAATTATTATATATGTTTGAATCAAAAGTGTATATTATTTTTTTCTAAACTATCAAAATCCTTATAAAATCTCTCACATTACCAGGTCTGTTCTCAATTATTTTACTTTGAATAACAAATTACTATTTGGAAAAGGCACTATGCATTAAAATAAACTTGATCAAGGCTGATTATAGAGGCCTATCGAGGTCACCTGACAGAATAAGTTAAAATATAGGTGGGAATGATGACACAATACGAATAATTACTTTTCAGATGATAAATTTCTAAGTGTTGGTTATTACTGTAAACAAGCTTTTCAGGATCATGTACCAAAAGGAATCGAATAAAAGACTACATTGTGGACATTAAAAGCACATATTCAAGGTGGCGCCTGTGGCTCAAGGAGTAGGATGCCAGCCCCATATACCAGAGGTGGCGCGTTCAAACTCAGCCCCAGCCAAAAACTGCAAAATAATAATAATAATAATAATAAAAGCATATATTGGAAGAAGAGACATTTTCAGTCTCTATAAATTTTATGCTATCCAAAATTCTTTAACTCATGTAACACACTACTTGTTTAAAAGTTTCATAATGGACTTTAAAAGTATTTTGAATAAACTAACCATGCACAGATAATGACATTATGGGATAAATACAATGAACAGATGATCTATATTGATGAAAAATATCCACTGAAGTTCAGGGTCATGTAATCAAATTAAAATTATTTGGAGTCAGGGAGACTGGGGTTGAATCTCAACTAATCATGTGGACAAGGACAAGATAACTAGTTCAACTGAGCCTCCTACTCCCCAGTTCGTAACTATACGAAGAGTATACTACACATAGATGGTACAAATGTAGGCTTCTTACGAGAAATACATGCAAAGATCATTTAGTCTGATATCCAGCACATAATAGGCAACAAATTATATACCTCGTACCAATAGACAATGAATATGCTCATAAATATTGGTGATTTTGCTATTTACGCCAGAAGCATTATAGGGTCACTTCAAAATATCTCTAATAATATTTTTTAAATTTTGCCAAGACAAAGAAGGAACTGAAGGGAATGCAGAGATACAAGAAAAATGTGAGTCTCCAGTGGCAAAATAACGAGGATGTAACTTGGCAAGTTTGTATTTTCACTCACATCAATATAGCTGGCATTTATGTAGTTTGACCCTGCATCTCCGTTTATCTCAGAGAGTTCAACACGGTTATAATCATCTGTATAAAGAAAAGAAAAATAAGCAAGTGAAATAATGAATAAGCAAGCAGTGTAAACATATGGAAATTCAATTCTCAATGTGTACTCACAAGGCAGGATGTCAACATAACGGTTTTTGTTCTGATTAAAGGGTTTTCGAGCATCTTTGATAGGAAACTTGCTGAATACCCTTGGAATGCTCTGAAAGACACACAAATTCTTTAGGTCACATCAGATTGAGAAAAACTAATTTCTCTCTTGGCATGATACAACAATGCATTCTATATTAAAGTATTATTAGTTTCGTGCTATGATATTGTCCATGAGTCTCTCTTAAGGCTCATAAATATCTTCTCATAACATCTGCTTGGATATTATGTGTGATGCATTATTAAGGCAAACGGTTACACAGATACATTTAAAAGGGAATTGTCTTGATGTTTGAGTAGACTTTCTCACCATCTAACAAGAGCCACACACACCTGAAATTCAGCCAGGAAAAGTCTTCCTTCATCAGCAATCTTTCTTTTGTAAGTTTCCAACAAAACATCTGCATGAATTGGCTCCACATTCATCAGTTGTTTTTCATCATCTGTAAAGACATTAAAAATGCAGCACTGGGTATAGGCCTGTCTTCTGAATCGGCCTACACATTTCATTAAATTTACACCCTATATTCCATCCTTAGCTTCTTTCCTTCTCACATACATTCCACCTGAGAAATCTCCTGTACATATGATAAATCAGTGACTTCTAAACCTTGCACTTTACCCTTCCTCTAGGCCTTATATTGTGCCCTCTACTAGAATGGCCATTCTCATCTTCAATGCTTAGAGAAAAGATCCCAGACCAAGTGTCACCATTGTAAGGACATCCACATTTCCTTTTCATTACACGCATCTTGTAGCCATTACCATACTTGTTAATCTGTATTACAGACATTATTTTTCTTTGCAATTGTTTCCATTTAAAATTATTACAAAATATTGTAAACATACAGATGAAATAAGAGATTAATATGATTAATATCTCTAGACCGACAACTCAGCTTAATTTGACCACTCATTTATACTCAACTGTAAAACAAGTTGTATATGTTAATTGTACATTAAGCCTCTGGAGTGTAAAATATATATCATAAACTGTGCTTGTGAAAAAAATTGTTAAAGAGCAAAAATACATATTAAGCATCAAATGCTATAACTGTAGACAAAACTCAATAGTTTTAGAATAATAGGAGAATTTAAGTTATCACATCTAAAAAGTATGTTTATCCCACTCTTCTATGTATTGCTGGTAATATTTCTTTCGGTACTCATATTAATTTTGCCCATTTATTAGATGAAGAAAGAAGCTATCCATGAGGGTGGCACATTTATCTTATTGTCCAGGGAAACCTTATGTCCAATCACAGCTGTCAAACTGACCATGTGGGCTTGCTTCTTTGGTCATTGGGGAGTCCTAGTATTCATTCATTGTGAGCTGGGGGTTACCTTCAGGGCTTCATGGGGTTTGAATGGGTAAGTTCTAATGCACTCCAAGTTGCAATCAGCATCAATTTTGAGATAATGTATTTTACTGATACTCTCCCAGTGTGCCTTAACTCCTTGAAGTGGTTTCTCCCTCTGCTCCTCAGATGCTTATTGTTCCCATCGTCTTCATTCTTCCCTCAGATTATCAAAACTAATCCTCAGGACATGTAATCTCATTAATTTATTTATTCATTAGTATTTATTGAATTCCAAAACTTACTTAAGGGCTGGGGTTAAAGCTGTGAGTGAGACAGGGAAATACCCTCCCTTCACAAAGCTTACATTCTATTTTATTTAGGAAAGGATAGTTAACAAATGAATAAATACATGCTACGATGTCAGGGAGTGATACATTCTGCAAAGGAAAGATAAACCTAATAAGGAACTTCAAAGACCCAGCTCTAAAGCTTCTGCATGCAGACTCAGTACCTGCTATTGCCAGAAGAAAACCCTTCAAACACAAGTTAACGCAGAGGAGTGAGGAAATTCTTCCTATCTTGAGTATGAGAAAACAACCTTTCTTATGGTCAACAAAGTTTTAATTTCTTTAAATTAGTTCCTTTTTACTTGATCAAAAAATCATGTTCTTAAAAAGAAATTAAATAAATAATGTTAAAGTTGGATAAAAAGAGAATAAAAGGAATTTATTTTCCTCTCCTAAGTCAAATGGCTGTTCTTTGTCCTGTCCATAGTGTGCAGGCAGTGGGAGGAGCCAGCAGCTTCTCCTGGCAGGAACCTGAGGACCCTTCCCACATCCCATCTCTGGGACTTTTGACCTGCTCTTCCTTCCATCACACCCTCTGTTGTTGGTCTAGCATTTCTCCCCAATCTTAGCACACCAGATTCTGTTCTTTCCACACGCAGTTTTCTATCTTCTTTGTATCTATAGAGCTGTCAGAGCATGTATTAAGTTGCCATCATATCCGTTAACATATTTGCCTTCCTCTAGCAGATTCTAAATGCTTTAAGTGCAGAGTTTGTGGCCTGTCACTGCAATATTCTCAGTGCCTGGCATAATATTGGGAAATTCATAGATGCTTGCTGATTGAATAAATGAAGAAATAAATTTAAATCATACCATTGCACGAACGGAAGAAATCCAAGTTAAGTTAAAAATGCTCACCTATTACTTAAAATGAATAGATTCAAATGTAGGGGAGAGAATATTTATCAGTTAAAAATATGCATACTTACCTCTTTCAACAAGTTCCTGGTGCTCATCTAAGTTGCTGTGAAAATAAAAGAAACATAAGTTTCAATATTCTTAAGAAATATAAAATTCAGTTGGCATTTAATTTATATTTAATAAATGTATTAAAGGAATACAGGAATGAAGGCTGGGAGGATAAAAGGAGAAGAGAGGAAAGGAGAAGAGGGAGGCAGGAAGGAGAGGGAGGACCTGGAGAGAAGGGAGGACCAAGGGGGTGTGTAAGGAATAAGTGAGGGCTGAAAAAACAACTGAAAGTCATCTGCTAAACTTGGATAAATGATGGGATGGTTTTATTTTAAACCTCCCATTTTTCATAAAATGTGGCTATTTCTGGATAAAGAAATACATAAACCTCATCAGGTATGTTCCTCCTTTTCTTCTGCTTCTCATTCCTCAATCCCTCTGATCCACTTTGTACTAAAAAAACTAGACACACATTTTTCCCACTGGTTAATATTAAAACAAGTCCACAAAGTTATTAGCAAAGGCAGAAAATATTAACCTGTAACATAAACCAATAAAACCATACTAAAAGTCTTTGATTAAAGTTCTGCCGTGAACTGGACTTCCTGCTGGCTTCTCTAGTTCAGGGATCGCATTTAACTGGTTGGATCACTGCCTGTGGGTAAGTGTTTATATCACGATTGCTACCCTTAGTGTTTTCTAATTGATTAATCAAATCTTACCAGGATCTTTTCTTATGCAGATCATAGATTTTATAGAGAACTGCCAGCAGGGCTATTGTTGTCACAACAATCAGAAATGCCAGAAATCCTATAAGTGCTTTAGAATTATCTAGAAATGAAATAAAAAAAAAACACACACAACAATATATTAAGGGAGCTTGTTTTGTCAAATATGTTGCAAGATTCTTAAAATAATCATCTGTAAACTACTTACTTTTGGTAGAGTGCCATGGCATCACAGCTCATAGCAACTTCAAACTCTTGGGCTTAAGCTATTCATTTGCCTCAGCCTCCCAAGTAGCTGGGACTATAGGCACCAGCCACAACACCCAGCTATTTTTTGGCCCAGGCTGGGTTTGAACCTGCCAGCTGTGATGTGTATGGCTGGTGCCCTAGCCACCTGAGCTACAGGTGCTGAGCCAAAATAGAATACTCTTAAGTGAGATTTTCTAAGGAACTGTCCTGAATGACTATGAGTTAGCACTCTAATCCACAGACATTTATTGAGGTTATTTCTGCAAAAATATTAAATACAACAGACTTGCCTTAATAAACTTACTGATAAGTAAGTCAAGTCTTGAGACACATTGTGTGATCCAAGTACATACACTATCTTCAGGAACTTTATTAATATTTTAAAAAACTGAAAATGGCATAGAGGCATGACAGCATAGAATATGAGAAAAGGGCAGTCAGAGGTAAAGCCATTTCAAGAAGTTTTCAAAGGTAGAAAACAGAAGAAGCTACAAACTAAAAAGCATTCTGAAAAGGATAGATGCCAGTTAACTCAGACAACCAAGTCTCAAGTCTGAAGGTAACATATGTAGCAAAAGTGAACTGCAGGTCTATTTATAGAAAATAAAAACAAACAAATAAAAAAAGAAGCAAATAGTCCCTTAAACAAAAACTCTCAGAAAGAGATAGATGGTTATTCTCTGGAATAATTTTAAGTGGAAGAGGTAAGAGACTTGGCAGGTAATGCCAGGCTCGGCTTAGGGCAGGACTTAAATTAGGAAGACAAAGCAATAGTCTACAAAACCAACTCTTCACACTTTCTCCTATGCAAAGTAGGCAAATTGGTTAATTTCTGGATGATAGCAGAGAAGATACATCAACTATATCATAGGGAATATCCTTAGTCACTGAGATTTTCTAAGCACTATAGAACTTCTAATCACCTTTTCCTACTGTAACCATGATTAGGTTACCATAAGAAACAAACTCTTAAGGCAACCATCAACACCAAAGAGGGATGCCAAACTAATAAATCAATTTATAAGTTCTATAATTAATATTCTCTAAAAAAGACTACAGAAAAAAAATGGAACTGCAATGCCTTAACTCTATCCGTTTTGAGCAAGTGAACCAGACTTACTCCATTTTGTTAAGAGCTTACATCCCCCTCCCCTCTTTTGTAACCCCTTGAGCAAGCAGTGACCCTGTAAAAACAGGAAGTTTAGCGTAGGACTACAAAAGAAATCCTGTGACAGCTGAAAAAAATCTTGTGAAAACCACAATCCTATTACAAGTCTATCTGGTCTGTGTGCAGTTCTTAGCCACCTTCATCCCATAAAAGTCCCCTCCCCATAGCTCTAACTTTGCAGATGTTAGCTTCTGTAAAATTCTGCTTAAGCTAAGGCTTCACATCCCCTGCTTGAAGTGCCATATAAAAGCCTTGTACACCCACTTCAATGTAGTCAAGAGACTTTGTGGCATGAGCCTGGTTGACTGGCTGGCCCAATAAAGGATGCTTGCTTAGTTTAGACTCAGTATGCTGGCATTTCTCTATAATTCCACTCATGGTAGGTACAACATTTGGAAGCCCCAGCGACATTGCCAGCCAGAGGGTGGGCCTCCCTATGGGGTCCCCCAGAAAGGGCAAGAATTATAGGGGAGTCAACCCCTGAGACATTCCAAGGCCCTATAATTCCCTGAAATCCTCCTGAGGGCTTCCAAGGTACTCCTGCCAATTCCTCATCCAAATCAGGTCTTGTAGTCCACTCTGGAGAGATGTTATTTGCATCTGGTATTTTGTCTATGGTTAGAGGGTCCCCTGGAATGAGCCACAGAATAATCACTAGGATGACATTGAGTGACCCAGAGAATGGTTTTGCATGAGGAGGACAACAGGGGCCCAAGAAGGAGGTGTAAAAACTCCTGAGGGCTGCCCAGCAGAGACCCAAGACAGATGCATAAGTACTCCTGAGGCCTGCAGGCAGTGACCTAAGAAGGAGACAATAAGGACTTCTGAGTGTCAACCAAGAAGGAGACACAGGGCCTCCTGAGGGCTGCCTGGAAGCTGGTTAGGCCTGTCCCAGGGTTCTTAGAAATAACAGGATGCCGGTGAGAACCTTAGATTTGTTCATATGCTCGTTTCTTGTAGTTGCCATCTTTTTGGCTGTGATTGTTCTTGTTTATCCCAATAACATCTCTGGGTTTTGTGTGTCTTTTGAGTCATAGGAACTCAACCAAAAAAATCTTTGACACCTTTGCTATGTATGTTGAAGAATTTTGCAGCTGGTTTCTCAGATGACTATGGAATCTGGATCTCAAAGAGCAGACTCCAAGTCCTCTGTGGAGAGGAGTGGTTGAGTTTTAATATAGGGTGGCTGTCAACAGGTTCCCTGAACCCGGCCCTGGTGACCACAGTACACCAAGTGGCTGCTGGAAAGCCAGGTCATCTAGACCAATTCCCTTATATTGATTAATGATTAATCTTAGTCATAACCCACAGCCCCCTTCCCTGGTTACAAGTAACTGTTCCTGTATCCTCCTGGTGTGAGCTCCTGTGGGCTTACATGCTAGAGTCCATAGCTTAGCATTCCAGGCCCCTCAGGCAGATGAGTCTCTGCCCCCAAAATAGGACAGACCAGAAATTACTCTGTGCGTTGAATTTTAGAAAAAGAGTGATGTGAAATCAAATGTAAAAGATAAAAATGGATGTTAAAGGCACCTGTTGTCTAAAGATGTATATTACATTTCAGCCAGGACTTAATGTAGAAGAACACCTTCCCAAAGTTAATAAATATATTGACAAATGAATAAATGCAGTTTATTCTCTGAGACAAAATTATCAGATCCGTGCAATTTTGCCTCGGGGAAGGAATGAGGGCATGTACTCCCTACTCAAGGAGAAACATTTAGGCTGCTGTATTCAAGACCTTGCTAGGAAAGTATGACCTGAAAAAGATGGCCTGTTTATGCCTAGAGATAGGGTTCTAATTTCTAAATTCTATATCAGTGTTATATTCCATTAAATGTCTCCCATTTGTAAAGTGTAATAATTTGGTTGTTGAGATTGTTTAAGAAAATAAGTCTAAGTTTACTTAACTAAGGTTAAGTAAAACTCATAAAAAAAAATTCTGAAAAATTTACATGCAATCTAGTTGACTATGTATGGCTTTTAATATCTTTTGGCTTATAATCCTGTTTGAACAAATGTTTTAAGCTTTTAATATTTAAAAAAACTTCCAAAATCAAAATTCTGAATTTGATCTTTTTTGAAATATTAAGACCACTGAAAGTCTAGAAAAACAGATCAAACTTATTTAATATGTCAATATATATAAGAAATACTGTCAAATATAAAATAATAATTACCTCTCTATAAATATGTTTATATATGTGTATTCCAAGATTTTAGTCTGTCTTAATATATATTATCAGTAATAATTTTAATTCATCTCAGTAAGTATTTTTGTAAACTAACTGAGTCCAAAGTTTTCCTTTAAGAAAAACAGTAAAAAGGATTAGTGGATTCTCTTAAATTCAAATTTCTGATGATTTTAAAAATTAAATACCATCAGGCTACAAGTAAACGTCTAAAAACTTTAGTTAAAAAGCTGCCATGTTCATGAGTATTGCTAACCTAACTTCAAACTGAACAGAAATTAGTTGCATGAAACCAAGCTAATTTGTTAGGACTTTTATTTAAAATAGTGCCAATCCTTTCTATGTTCTATTTTCTAGAAGTCAAGAAAATCATTTTCTATCTTTTGAGCTACTTATAGCTTTCGGCAATGTATATACTTATGAGCAAAATTTGAAACATTAATTTTTTTCTATCTTTGATTTCTCTGGAATTTAAAAACATTTGTAAATATTATTAATTTCTAAGAATATAGTTATTTGCATAAATTCAATAGAATCTGTTTTGTTTTGTAAGATAAAATATAGAACACTGGTTACTTTATCAAGGCTTTGACTTGAATAATGTTTTTAGAAATTTTCTGACTACGTTAAGAAATTAAGGTTGACTTTATAACTCCAATAAAAATCTCATTGGAAAGACTGGTCAAGTACCTCACCAATAACATTTCCTGATCTGTGGTGAGTAAAGAACCTCACTTTCTGACATGTCCAAGAATCACAATTTGCTTGAGGGCCTCATGAAAAGAAGAATTTACCCAATACCTACAGGTATCTGATGGCTCATGAGAGGCTTTCAAGTCTAACCTGAGATTCTTTATAAAAAGTTAAAGTTCCACTAAAGCCAATTTTAAAGAAAAGCCTAGATAGCTAATAATTTTTCTTGCTGCACATTATGCAAATAATCAGACTCAGTATCCTGACTTAGTTCTGTTGTAATTTATTTTTTAGTAAAATGAGAAATCAGATAAAACAAAAATTCAACAGAAAAACTGTAGCCCACCTATATTAGAGTTCAGCCTTATCTACAATGCCAGCTCATAAAATGAAACATAACTTTAAATCAGTTCTGTAAGAGAACTAATGTTCTTATGTTCTCATTGTGTAAGCCTTAGCCTCAAAATCCAGAATTTATAAATTTTTATAAATGACTGTTAAATAATATCATTTTTCTTACCCTTAACTTTGTCCCTGTCAGTGTAGAAAAGCCAGAAAGTCACAACCATATGCAAGGTGACTGAGGTCATGCAGAAACCACTCAGTCAACTGCTGCTTGGTGTATGCCATGTAAAAAGATAAATGCCAAAGCTGGACCCAGGTTTCTATTAGAAATCCACCTCAGATGGCACATACCAGGAAAAAATTAGGAAGTCAACTTCACTAAAATCCATCTAGCTAACAGAAAGTGTAAATATCTTCTTGTGTTAGTAGACACATTCTCAAGATGGATAGAAGGTTTCCCCACCAACTTTTAAATGAAATCATTCCTAGTATCTCCAGAACCTTTTCTGGGTCCAGAAAAATATTCACTCCCAGGTTTGAGACACCTATCCTGACTCTAAGACTGATGGCAAGAAACCTGGAACTGCCTTCCAGCCTGGTAACTGAGTCTACATAAAGTCATTTCAGAAGGAAGGTCTAACCACACAGTGGAATGGCCCATTCACTGTCACCCTCACTACCCTGGCAGCAGTGAGAGTTGATGGTTTGTCAGCATAGATCCACCACAGGCAGGTGAAAAAGACCACAGAAGACAGCAGAATCCATTAGCTGGAAGTCCCGGGAGGAAACCCCTTCAAGCTAAGACTGTTAAAATCTTAATCTACTCCCTATATATATGTGTCCTCTTCTCCTTGACCCCTGTTTCTTCCCTCTGTTATTTTATGTTGCTTGACCAAAAGGAGAGGTCTTAGCTAATATAACGTAGGAGAAGAGTACTTTAGGTCTGGTTTTTTACAATGACCTATGCAAGTTATTAGACCCACATCACACAACCCATCACCAAAAATCCTGGTCATGTGAGCTGATGAACAGCTACTCCAACTATGTATAGCATGGATGTGGAATCACTCATCTTGAATCCCTATTACAGGGAAGTTCTGTTACCCTTAATAATACCAAGTATGTCACTGTAAAAAAGAACAGAGACTTGTCACAAGTACCTTGAAAGAGGTTGCTGAGCATGTCTGACACCTGGAACGTGTACCCCAATTTCAATGCAGGTGCAAAAGCCAAACAACCAAGTCTGGCAACAGAAACAGACTTGGAAACTCCAACTCCATAAGCATCAGCCTGAGAGGGCTCAGTTTTCAATTCAGTTAATCCACCACCCAAAACTCCCTCGTGAACAGTGGGCCACTAGTCCCACTGTGCAAGTCTTTTAATCCAGATCTCAGGAGCCCCATGCCCGATAAGAAACCACACCAGCAACTCCCCTTGCTTCCTACTTTACTAATCATGTTAGACAGTACGCATTATCTTTTAAATGTAACTCAAACTAAGTTAGCTTCTGAGTATGGGGGCCTACAACCCAAGCCTCCATATTATGTAAGGTTAGGTGAGCTAGCCCCCCACCCCACCAATAACTAACAACATCTTGTACCCAGCGAACCGCTTGCTTTAGGAGATGTAACTGGACAGGCAAGCTGTCTCTGAACCCCTGCCTAACAACTTTAATCATCAGCCTTGCTAGCCCTCTATTCCTCCTTGTCTTGGGATTACTAAAGGGCCTTGCATCCTCCACCGGTTCATCAATTTCCTAAAAACTCAATTGACCACAAACTCATAGTGATTGATGCCCACTATGATTCCATACCCTTAGATGAAGAGTCAAGAGTTTAACTCAGATGTCAAAGGTTTGATGTGGACATGAAACCAGAGGGGAATATAATGCCCTAACTCCATCCATTTTGAGCAAGTGAACCTGCAGCACTCCACTTTGTAACTACAGTAGTCCCTTGATCAAGCAGTGACCCTGAGAAAGCAGGACATTTAGCTGAGAGCTGCAAAAAAATCGTGTGACAGCTGAAAAAAATCTTGTAAAAAACCATAATCCTGTCACAAGTCTGTCTGGTTTGTCTGTGTGTAGTTCTTAGATTCCCCCCTTGCAAGTCCCCTCCCCATGGCTCTAACCTTGCAGATGTTAGCTTCTATAAAATTCTGCTTACACTAGGGGTTCCCATCCCTGTTTAAAGTGCCATATAAAAACCTTGCACCCCTGCTTCAACACAGTAAAGAGAGCTTGGGGCATGGGCCTGCTCTTGACTGGCCAGCCCAAAAGGGCCCTTGCTTAATTCGGACTCAGTGTGCTGGCATTTCTCTGTAATTCCACTCATGGCAGGTACAACAGAACAAAGAACTGAGGTATCTCAGGGTTCTGTAAGTCTCATGTCACAAAGGCCAGCATGATCCAGGAAAATGAATGAAAAAAAATCTAGCTAAGAATGATGAGAAAAGCCTACTATTTGCAGGGGGAAAAGATGGGAAGAGAGAGAGAAGCAGGATGGCATAACTAAGATTGGATTCAGGGGAATAAAAAAGAAATACTTCTTAAATTCTAGAATTGTTAACTTAGAATTTTATGCCAGGTCCTAAGTGCCAGAGTAGAATAAAGATATTTTTGTGCAATCAAAAATTAGAATATTTTATTCTTACACTAGAGGATATACATCAGTAAAATCTGAAAAACAAATACACGCCATCTAGATGCAACAAATCTAAACCAGAAGACTGACAATGGGAAATTTAAAGGTGACAGGTGAGAGTCCACATCAGAGGAAAAAGGAAAGACACCCTAGGACTTCAATTGAGAAAGCCATCAAAGTACAGGTGATGAGATGCTTTGCCACAGAAATCCAAAATACCCTTTTTAGTAGCTATACCCTAGCAATTCATAGTTCAAGTCCTTCCCTAGAATAAATACCACTATTTAAAAAGTATGTATATTATTTATCCATTATGAAAGTGATATTGGGAGCAGAAAGTTGATATAATGTTTTCTCTTTTATGAAAAAAGGATGCAAGCTAACTCTTCAGCTCTGTTGATCTGGAAATCTTACCGAAGTGGAAATTCGTGATGTTACGAATTAGCATCATCACTAATGATAAAGTGATCCTTGAGGGTTAAACTATGTCTGGAAAAGGAGTGCTATATATGAACAAGATTGGCAACTCCCAGCTTTGGGCTGCCCTGAGTGCAGTGCCACCTTGAAAGGGAGCATAGCCCTGTGGGCACATGCAGAAGCTATCCCTATGGAACCATTGTAGAGATACAGTTCCTCTTGGAAGGCAGCTCCCATAACTACACACGTATTCTCATTTTCTCCTGTCTCAGTTGTCTTTAGGAAGGTCAAAGAATAGTCCCTGCATTGCTGTGCCCATAGCCACAGGGATGCCCAGGGCCAAACTCCCTAGCTAGCAAGTTGTATTTCCAGGTCTGTGTCTTTCTAAGTGAAACAGTTCCAGGTCTGGCCTAATATGAATGTGAAATGTTGACTTGAGTCTATGACCACCAAGAATAGGCGATGCAGCTATAAATTATTAACATAATAGAAAAAATTTAGTGAAACTACTTTTGCCATACATATAAAAGAAAAAGCTAATATGGAAATAAAATAAAAAATATCTGGCAGAATATTTTTACCATTTAATATTCCAGGTTTTTATTTCACAAGTCTCTGTACAAAGAACTAAAACGTTACCCACCCCATAGTAAAGCAGTTTGCAAAATAAGCTGATTTTATGTCCTCCCTTCCCCCCCTTTTTTTTTAAATTGGGAAATAAAGCTTCAGTGATTGTGCACATGCATATGTGTGTAAGTAAGAGAGAAAAACCTAAAAAGGGTGAAGACAGTATCAGGAATAGTCTATGGTTGATAACAAAACACATAGAGGCTTAAATAATTTTATTTACAAAAGTTAACAAGTAGAGAAAACTTGAAATAGTTTACCACATCTTCTTCCTCCATAGA